AAGAGCGCTTGCAACTCCTTCTCCAGCTAAACACTGCCAGACCCTTTGAGGATACCCCCATGACAGGACTGCCAGACCCCTTTCCCACTCCCACAGACTGTTCTGGAAGTTGTCTAATTTGTCAACGTCTCTCTTTAAATCTGACAGCCAGAAATGGACACAAGACTACAGATGTGGCTGATTAGAGCTGGGTACTATTAATTTCTGAGACATGGATCCTTTACTATTACCAGAGTCGAACTCTGAATTTATTTATTTTTTGCAGTCATCTCATGCTGCTGGTTCATATTAACCATCTTTTTCCTAAAGAACTGCCACCATACAAAGTCACCTCCTTTCTTCCACACCGATGGATAAGGATGCATTTGCTGCTGCAAAGTCTCTTTGCTTTTGGCACAGCATTGCAGCCTATTTGAATAGTGCTAGCTCTAAATTCTGTAATCTGTTTGCAACAGCTATCCTTTTCCCAGCCATCCATGGATTTTAAGACCAGGCTTCTAGATCTTCATCTGAGTAATTCATACAAATAGTGAGGAAGAGAAGACCCAGGGCAAAGCTGTGTGACCCTACAGGGATCATTCTTTGACTCAAAGCCAGTGACCCCCACACCTGGCAGGGGGCTCGTCCAGCCTGCCTTGGGTTCACGCAGCAATCCTGCTGGTCTACACACCACCTCACACCCAAGAGCAAGCTGCAGCCTTCACAAATGCTTTGCTGAAAGTCAGACTCACTTATCTTTCAAAACTAAGTGTAAAATATTGACATAGATTAAAATTACAGTAATTTCAAAATGTGCATGCATGCGGAACAAAGTGTGGAAGGGCCGGAGCCTCTGTGAAAATGCTTGTTCTAGCAGCAGTCAGTGGACACTGTTTTAGGAATTTTGTTTGCTTCTTTTTATTCAAGACTGTCTTCAATAAAGTTTTAAACTTCAAGACACTGGAAATTATGTAGAGAGACTCTGGCTTGGAAGCAATCCATGAGAAAGCTTTCGGAGCACTGAGACTGAATCTGATCCTACTAACCTGCAAACCCTAAACAGAAAAGCAGTCTATTGAAGAGACTTGTTGATCCCTAGAAACACCAGCCTTTTTTTATTTTGCATTGTTGCTTCAGGCCTAATGTTTCTGGAAATTGGGGAGATGGGAAACCAAGAATTGAAACCTGAAGCTTAGAAAAAGCCTGGAGGGTGTGTGCATGTGTGTGTGTGCATGTGTGTGTGTGCATGCGTCTCTGCTGGAGAGGATGGGAAGAAAAAAATCATCATGTTGACATTTCTATGAAGCTCTGGACTAAAAGAGAGCAAAGTGTGAAGGGATTTTCTTTCTCCAGCCCAAGAATCTGCAACAGTCATATATACCTAATTCACCTATTTACATAGACACACAGTTGACACTAAGAGTAGGAAATGAGGTGACAGGACACCCATTTAGGCGTTTACAATAGAGAACATGGAAGGGTACACTTTAAGGGATTAGGTAGAGCAAGTGTGGACAATAAGTAAAAAAGAGAAAGAAACCTAGTGGCTGGCTGTTATGGGAAAGAATGTAATCCAGAAATACAGCACTGAGAATATCAAGTCATCTGAATAGTTGAGAATTTTTTCACAAGTGAGGATTTCTCAACTGCCTCAGAACTCCTATTGAAGTATGATTTTCATCAGTGGGAAACTATTGCTAGAAACTAGATAAATGGTATCTCTCTCTCTTTGAGGTTGTTTCTAACCAGTTCTTTCCTGATTGCAGTTCCTTGCTATTTTCCGTATTTGTGAGATTAATGAAAGTTCCACTCTGCTTAGAAATAAAATTTGTCTATCGTACTCAGCTATGTTTAACACATGAGGTAGACCAACAGCTTTCAGATTTATGGCAAACTCTCAAAAATTGATAAAATGATCAATCCAAAGTCAAGTTACGATTTGACAATTTAAAATTCTTCCTAGCCTAGAAAAAAATTTTACCTACCATGCTGGAAATTAGGTCTAATGTAAAAGGTAAATCAGCAGGCTCATAAATCCACAGCAAATTGTCAGTAAAAATGGATAAAATGTCCACAAAGTCCAATCATTTGACATGTGAAAATTCTATTTCCACTTTGAAATACAAGTTTCCTACCATTCTAGAACTTAAGCTAGATACATGAGGGGGATCAACAGCTTCACAGATATATAGAAAACTGTCATAAAACAGGCAAAATGTCCAACTATAAAGCCTAGTTATTATTTGATAAATGAAAATCCCACTTTTCTTTGAAACACCATTTTCCTATCATGCTGGAAGTTTAATGTAGGCGATAAATCAACAGCTTCATACATCCACTGTAAAGTCTTATAAAAATGGATAAAACGTCAAAACACAAAGCCCAGTTATTATTTGATCCAATAAATAATGCACATTAACCTCTTTTTGCATTGCATGTGCAAAACGGATAAGAAACAGTGAATACTAGGAACAAGTATCTTAGAAAATCCAAAATTCACTCATATATTACAATTTAAAAGTTAAAAATTCTTGGCTATTTTTTAAAGTTGCTATTGTTGTCTGAGACAACACAAAAATTTTTTATCTAAAATACCTGCCTATTAGCCTTTTTGTTTTTATTTTTAATATTGTTTTATTGATCTAGAAAACAAAGTTGTTTTATCTAAACTATTTACCTACGGATGATATTTATTCCACGCAAAAATTCTAAACAAAGTGAATTTATGTAGTGGAATTGAAAACACAAGGAAATGTACCAAAATGGTAACTGTTTGTTAGAATAGTGGAATCGGAAGAAATGCTATTGTCTTGCGGTTTTAAATGTTTATGTACTGAGATTATTTATTTGAAATTTTAATTATAAACGTCCACAGATACTCTCTCCTTGAAAGAAAACTGCACATTTAATGGTACCTGACATCTAAAGGGATTTGGAAAGCAAATGATTGAGTTACCTGGATCCCAGTTTTAATTTCTAGAAAGTATAAGCACACAAAACCCTATGAAAATATGTGTCATTGAGCTGTCTGTGGATGCACAGAGAAGTCCTAAAGACTGTGATCTTCACTGGCATTACCACAGGGTAAAGAGGTTACAGGTGATCTCATTTTCTTTTTTACCGTTTTCTAGGTGTCTTCCCTGGAATTCAGTAAAATAGGTAGGGATTACCATTATGGTAACAAAATACTAGTAAAACTTTTTTTTTCTTTTACAAAAAAATCCTAATTAATATTTTGAAATGAGTAACACAAACTGGTTCAAACTTTGAAGGTCTTGGGATAGATTTCTTAGGTTTGAATTTTCCCTATTTTCCATCTACACTGGTTTTTAATCTCACTTTTTAGGGGAAAAAAAAAAAAAGGATGAGACTCCGCTAACACCTAAGTGAAGTAATTTGGGATTAACAAACAAGTCGGCAGGAGTCTGCCAGTGCGGCGGCGGCGCGGAGCAGTCGCCTTAGGAACCTGAGAAATCCTGGAGCGAGTCCAGCTTAGAGAACCAGGTCAGGTGCCTCGGCGGCTGCATCCGAGGGCACCTCGTAAAAGCACGGTTTTCCGCCGTGGGCGCCCCTCGCTCCCACGCCGGCGGGCCGCGCCTCGCGCGGAATCTCCACCAAGGGGCTGGGGTCCGCGGCGCCGGGCCCGCCTCGCGGAGCAGCCCGCGGGGAGCCGCACGCTCGGCTCGGCCCTCGTCTCCGAAGCCAAGCGGGCTCCGCTGCAGACCCTGCGGGTTGCCCCGCACCCCTACTCCTTTCCCTGGGACGACCGTCACCGTGCGGTTCTCCCCGCGCGCGGCGCCGGGCGGTGCGTGGATGCGACCGCGCGCGGAGGCTTGAACCCTCCTGCTCCTCGCTAACGTGCAACACCCAGGCGTTTCCGCGCATCCACGCACGCAGACACTCGGGGCTGCCAGGCTTCGGGGCTCCCGCACCTAAACGCACGCATCCGCCCCACGCGATTCGCGAAAAGGCGACGACGTAGCGGGGAGAGCGAGATTAGCGCGGCTGCCTCGCAGGCGCCTCCGACAGGCCGGGGCCGGGCGCCCCGCGGCCAGCCGAGCGCCCCGCAAGCATCCACAGCTGTGCTGAATCGTCTCCGCTTTCTCAAAAAAATCGTGCGCGCGGCGCCCCTGGCCCCGGCCTGGCTGAGCCCTGACCTCGGCGCCCTCGGCGGCTGCCGGCGCTGCGTGACCCGCGTCCCTGCCCGAGAACCGCGCTGGGCACCAAGGGGTGAATTCGGTGGTTGTAATGTCCCTAATTTTAGGGCGCTCTCGCTCTTTCTCTCTCTGTCGGTCAGATTTAAAAAAAAAAAAAAAAGGAGATGGGGGTTGGGGAAGATGTGCGTGTGCAAGGCCGATGCAGGTCCACGCCCGTTTCCTTCGGCCCGCAAAGCCCCGGCTGCGGGGGAGCGGCCCCCGCCCCAGGAACGGGGGGCAACGACCCCCGGCTCCGGGCTGTGGGCGTCGGGGAGGCCCAGCGCGTGCGGGGGAGGGGCGCCAGGCCCGGGCCAGGGAGCCGGCGCCCGCCGGCCCAGGGAGGGGCGCGCGGGGACGAGAAGGCCAGGGGTCGGGCCTTTGGGGGGGGACGCCCTGGGCCCCCCGCGAGAGGGGCGCCTCGGCCCGCACGAGGGGGGCTGGCGCTCCCAGGCCGCGCCCAGCACCCGCAGCCCGGGCGGGGGCGGGGGAGGCGGCGGCCTGCGGGGGCCCCGGGACCTCCCTACCGCGCGCAGGCCACTAACCTGTAAGCAAGAACGTGCCAGCGGTCGTGGGGCTCATCCTGCGCGCCCCGCGACCCCGCGCCGTCCACGCCCTGGGGTCTCCCAGCGCCCACCACCGGGGAAATGGCATTCTTGGCCTGGCTGAGGCCGGCCGTCCTCGAGTCTCCCTCCCCTCCCTTTCTTCTTTCCTCCCAGCGTGGCCAGTTCAGCATCAGCATCCCGCACCCCCCTCCTCGATCCCGCACTCCCCCTAGCGGCGGGCCCCCGAAGCGGGACGGCGCCCCCGCCCCTCCCCCCACCGCCCCCGCAGCCCGCCGCCCTCCCCCCGCCCGCGGAGCACGCCGGGATTGGGCGCCCCCTCCTCGCCTCAGCCAATATAAGGCGCGCACTCGGCGCTCCGGGTACACGCGCTTCAACTTCGGTTGGTGTGTGTCCAACAGACCTTGCCGAGACCCCCGACCCAGGAGCACCGCGGAGCCGGACCCTGCGCCTCGAGACCCCTCCGACGAGTGCGCTCGCGGCCCGAGCCCCCTTGGGCTGCTGAGCGCCCGTGGAGCCCGCGCTGAGGAGACCACGCGTGGTGAGTATGCGGTGAGGACGTCTTCTTTTAAGCTCACCTTCGTCCCCACCCCGCGTCCCTTCCGACGCCCCCCGTCCTCGTCTCTCTCCAGGGCAGCCTGCGGGAGACGGAGTAGCGCCCCGCGGACGTCTCCCCGCGCTCCGTGTCCCGCCTTCACGGCATTCGGTGTCGGCACGCGAGTCCACAGACGGACGGACGCGAGCTGCGTGGACGGACGCGAGCTGCGTGGACGGACGCGAGCGAGGTCCTCGAAGGCGCCACCACCGAGTTATGTGCAAACTCCGTGGTAGCCGCGCGCTGGGTGTTGATGCCGCGTGCGTGGCCGCGCCGCGGGTGTGAACCGCAGCGCTGCGCGGGCTGCGTGCAGCCTGCACACAGGTTTTTGCGCCTGGACATCGCGCCCGCGGAGCGCAGGCTTGCGGGAGCGATGCTGTTAGCGCCGCAGCGCGCCGCCCGCCCGCCCGCAGAGGTACATGAGCTGCGGAACATTGGCGCCGAGCCGGCCGCCCCTGCAGGGGCCGCTGCCGCAAGGGCGCGGGAGCTGCCGCGGTGCCCACCCCGGGGGCAGCGCGAGCCGCGGCCCCTCGGCCGGAGAGCCCAGCGCTGCCCCTCGCGGAGCGGCTCCCGCCGTGTCTTTCCGCGAGGTGGTTCTCCCCTCGATACTGATCTCCAGACAAAATGGAGCCCCAGCCGGAGGTCGGCGTGCAGCGGGGTGCCCGTGCCGCGCGTGGAGTGGCGGGGCGCGGACTCTGGGGGAGGCAGAGCGGGCTGCCTGCTTGCGCGTGTCTAACGTGAGTGGTGGCGGACTTGGCGCGGCGGCGCGAATTGGCGGCCAGCAACAGTTTGTGGAAACTGTCGCTCGTGGGGGATCGGGGGTGACCACGGCTCTTGCTTCGTGAAATGAACTTGCAGGGAGGGGTTTGGGGAGGGGGCTCCTGGGGAGGGCGCGGCGCCCGGGCTCGGGCTGCCCCGCCCATCCGAGTGTGCAGGCTCTGCAGCAGTCAGGTCGCGCTTCGCGCCTCCCTCACCGGCGCCTCCCCGGACGCGCCTCCCCGGAGCGCGCCTCCCCGGAGCGCGCCTTGCTGGCCCCGCCTCCTCAGCGCCAAGTCCTCAGAGCCCGCCTTCCCGGCCGCCCTGGCCCGCCCCCTGGGGGGGCTGGCCCAGACCCTGCCTCCTTGTGCCCCGCCCCTGGCCCCGGCCACGCCTCCCTGTGCCCCTCCCCTGAGGAGGCTGGCCCAGACCCCGCTGCCCTGGCCCGCCCTCTTGGGGGGGCCAGCCCAGACCCCGCCTCCTTGTCCCCCGCCCCTGAGGAGGCCGGCCCAAACCCCGCCTGTCCCTGTGCCCCTCCTCTGAGGAGGCTGGCCCAAACCCCGCCTATCCAGTGCCTCTCTTCTGAGTGGCTGGCCCAGACCCCACCTCTCTCCCAAACCCCTCCTCTGAGGGGGGGGGGTGACACAGATTCCCCGCCCTTCAAAGCTTAGGTCCTCATTGGACCTGCCTCTGCGAGGTAGTCCGTAGTCCAGCCTCCCCTACCCCGCCCAGATCTCGCTTGCGCCTGCACAGTGAGAGCCACTGGCCTCCCCCCGCCCCCAGCCAACCCCTTTGCGCCTGCGCGACCTCACTGCCTGAGCCTGGCTGCACAGCCCTGCCCCCCTGCGGTTTCTCTGTGGTTTTGCCTCTTGTCCACTAGTGTCTAATAAATGGAATGAATGAGAACAATTAACAACAGTGGTAATTATACTTGGCATCCATGAGCACTTTTAATAAGTGCCTGGCATATATCGAATAATATAATTTCACAACTTAAACTCCTAATGGTGAGTTTCAGGGGCAGCGTCTTCGCTGACATGGCTGCTGCCTCTACAGGACATTAGCCAAATGTTTTTACTACCAATTAAAAATAGAATTTTAAAGACGTTCATGTTTAAGACACCAGTGGACCTCGCGGAATCGGATGCCGTGATGGGTGGAATGAGGACGCGTTTGCGCGTGTCTGCGGGCGCCGCGGCCCCGGCCTCTGAGGGCTCTGAGGCGGTCTTGTGTGCAGTTTTTACCTTGGAACGCCAGGGGGTTGGCCCTGGCTAACTCGCCTACATTTAATAAATGGTGCCTTGCACATGGTAGGCATTCATTAAATATATGTGAATGACCAGAGTCAGTCGGTTGCGTTGGTGTCTGAAGGTCTTTCCTGGTTTCTTGTTCCTAAGGTATTCTCGCTCTCTTGGGTTCCTTTGCTTGTCTTATCTCGCTCACAATTAACAGTGTGCTTTTTAAAAAGAGATGTTTTTGAATTTTAATAAGTGGTAATTATATAATAACTTCCAAATAATTAGCTTTTTTCATAAAAAGCTAATTATTTAAATATTCCAAATATTTAAATATTCCAAATAATTAGCTTTTTTCATAAAAAGCTAATTAAGCTTTGTCCCAAGTGATTAGCTTTTTTCATAAAAAGCTAATTTAAATTTTGGGCAACTGGATTATTAATGATACATACTGGCATTTAAAATTGGTGTGATGTAAATTGGTAACATTACAAAATATAGATTATTTTGGCTGGCATAATTAAACATCTGTATAAATCAAATGTATTGCCAGTAAGATGTACCATGTGAAAATTATGTTTCTAACTGAATGAAACTTGAAAACCTGGTTCTATAGATTACAAAATTTGAACCAGGACTTTGTTAAGGGGGAATTGGGCACACTGGCTCCCAGAAGTCTCACTTTTCTCCCTCTGCGTCTCCAACAAGCATACAATCTATAGAAAACATATGTGCTTATAATAGCAGCTTCAAATTTCCTTCCTCTTTGCAGATTCTTTATCTGCATATTAAAGAAGTTCAAAACAATGGTAAAATATGCATATCATAGAATTTGCATGACACAAATAATATACATGGTACTCAAAAAATTCAGATTTCAAAATGGAAAACAACTAATAATTGGTTAATGAAATTCATTTCCTAATGGAATATTTATGAATGGTGATTTTGGGCTTCTATTGCTTCTTAGTGTGTTTGGAAAATAGAAAATTTTTAAATTGATTATGAAGAGTCAGTAATTAATCAAATGTGTATAATCCCTAAATAAATAAAGACAAATTTTTATTGTATGTAAAGATGGCATTTATCCCAGGCAGCTTGCTTGATGTAGTGTGTCCTTTCTTTCTTCAGGAATGGGACCTCTTGACCTTGTTTTTCCAGTCCTGCCTCCCCTTAAGGGGAGTTTAAGGAGCCATAGTTTTACCATGCAAATAAAGGCAAAATGCTCCTTTTCCTTGTCACACCTTTAACTTTTGGTGCCCAGTTGCTGTTTAAATATTTTTTTCTACTTAACTATTAACCTGCCTGCCCACTATCCTAGATTAACCTGTAAAGGTTCAACCACTCTGCTTTGGACAATTAACTGTTTTTAGGATTTAAGAGTCCTATCCTAAAGTTGCCAACTGTCAGGTCATGCCAGAGACCCCATATTGGTGAAGGTCAGGGATCTTAAACTGGTGACCTCGCAGGTCAAATTATAAGGACTTGAATTTGTTTGGCCAGTACTTAATTGAAACCATTTTTAAACTGAATATCTATGGGGGGGGGGCATGTATCCCCAAGTTACACAGTTGCTGTCCCTCCTTATTAACTCCAGCCTCTTCTCACTTTTAAATGACTTTTTTGTACATTAAAGGCATTTGAGTTTTTAATTCTCACTGATTGTTTTTGTTTCCCTAAACAGAATAGTGATTTCTTAATGTATTGTCACTTCTGTCCCACATTGTTTTTTGCAGATGTTAAAACCATTGTACCTAGGTTCCAATAAAGTCCACTATGATTGACATGTAGGTGGTTAACCTTCCTGACTTGGATCAAGCTGCATCAGGCTATGCTGTGATTGCTCCTTAGGAAGCCTTGTTTCTGGTTTGAAAACATGAATGTCTAGATGACAGAAGTGACACCTTAGTACCTTAGTCATATGATCTGTGCCTAATAATTGATTTTAATAGGACATTAAAATTTTAATTTAATAAGTAAAAATTGCATTATGTTTTACTTTACATTGTGTCACCAATACAGTTGTATTTATGTAGTTGGATATGTGACTGAATGTATTTATTTGCCTTCTAATGTTTTCTAAACTTGAATATTTGATCCTGAATATTAATTATTCAACTAAAGTCATTAAGTAGCCAGGGTAACACTGTTAGAATAGCACGGGAATCCCTGCCCCTTGAGGACCTTGCTCTCTGGAAAGGCCATTCACCAACAGTGTCAGACAAGGGAAAGTGTCAGACAAGGGAAAGTGGCTTCCAGGAGGGTCCAACAGGTTAGGAGGGGTGGGAGGAAAAGGGAGGAGGGGCCATTTCTCTACAGCCAGGGACAGAGCTGATGAGCAAAAGGCATCATGTTTAATTACCACCCCACCCCTTTAATTCTTGACCCAACTAGTGGAAAAACTAGTGTATTCCACCTAACTTCCCTAAATAAAAACTGTTTGTCTTTTTTGGCTTTATGTAATTTATAAGGTGTCCATTTTTGCCTTAATGGGTCATAGAGGGGCAAGTTATATTTTAAAACTTTTTGCTAGAAATTTTAGACTTTTAAAATTAAAACACAAATTAAACATTTATATACTTGTATTAGGTTTCTAAACTTTTGCTTAAAAGTTATACATTTTTAAATAAAGAAATTTTAAACTTTTAAAATTAAGTTAGAAAGTTTGTTAAACTTTTAGAAAGTTTGTGAAACTTTTAGAAAGTTTGTGAAACTTTTAGAAAGTTTGTGAAACTTCTAGAAAGTTTGTGAAACTTCATGGCTAAACTTCTAGAAAGATGGCAAACATCTAAAAAGTTGGCTAAACTTTTAGAAAGTTTTTTAAACTTTCAGAAACTTAAACTTTTTTAATTAAAGTGTTTAAAACTTTTACATGTTATGTTTCAAACTTCTAAGCTGTTTATTATTTAAGATTTCCAAACATGAGATTTGAGATCATTGAACTTTTAAAATAATTAAATCGCTCAAAACATTTTACCCTCTTTTCAGGAAGTATACTGGCAGACATTGTGTCAGGATCTGTTGCTGTGTGACTTACTGTCATCACAGGCAGGTCCCTAAACCCCCACCCCTCACCCTCACCCACCCACTCAGCCCTTAGGGGAGCAGCCCCTCCCTCTTTATATAGGAAGTTGCCTTTCCATTTTCCAATTAGTAATTTTATTAAGATCAACTAAACACCATTGGATGTTCACTATGTGATTTACCTGCATTATTTAATTAAAACCTCATAATTACAAGTTTGAGGTATACTATTATTGGGCTTTGTCCCATTTTATAGCCCAGCCCTTCCAATGAGGCATCAATTAATAGTTATTGAATGGCTACTTAATGACGAGGCAGACTGGCATATACATATTTCTACTGGGTGTCATTTCTGTCCCATAGAGAATTCTCTTGGGAAAGTTAAATTGTGGTCAGAAAAGTCATTAGTCTTGTGGTTTTGGTGGCAGTGTGGTGGTTTGATTTGACAGTCACTTAACCTTTATACAGGTGGACCAGGGTCGTGACCGCAGGCCTGATGAATACAGGAATCCTGATTGTAGTACCCCCTTCTTTCTTGTGGTTCCCTATCAGTTGGGATTTTAACTGGTTTTTGCGGAAGTTCTCTAGTTGCAAAAAGTTATTTTGGCTTTATTTTGCATAATGTATGAGGTGTCCGTCTTTGCCTTGGAAGTTTCTTGGTCTGTTCCCTCGAACACAAGTGCTTGTGTGGGGTGTGCCAGGGTTCTTGTGTAGTGTGTAAAAGCGTGCTGTTGATGCGGTTTTGAGAGGAAAAGGTCACTTGGCATCCAAGGGTGGATGCCTGTTTTAAAACTCTTGTCCTGATTGGTTCCTTCTTTCTCTTTTCTTCAGGAAGTGTGTTTTCTTTGATATTATTGACAGGACTAAGGAGAAGTTTCAAACTTAAATCTTTGCATATGCGCTGCTTTGGATGTGTATGTTGAATTTTGTACCTTTATCTTCACTTGCAGAAATAAGCGGGTTTTGAAAACAAAAAGGAGAAGGGGTGCACGTGGAGGCCAGGATCCGGGCCTCCATCCTCACAGGAGCGAAGAGGCAGCTGGGAGTTCTCCTCCCACCACCACCACCACCACCACCGTCGCCATGGGTCCCGACTGCCCACCGCCTCCCCCTCCCCCTCCCCCCAACAACAACAACAACAACAACTCCAAGCCCAGCGGCCACAAGAGCCCCTGCGTGCCCAACATGACCGAGCGGCGGCGCGACGAGCTGTCGGAAGAGATCAACAACCTGCGCGAGAAGGTCATCCGGCAGTCGGAGGAGAACAGCCAGCTGCAGAGCCAGGTGCAGAAGCTCACGGAGGAGAACAGCACCCTGCGAGAGCAGGTGGAGCCCCCTGCCGCCGAGGAGGAGGCCGAGGAAGACGAGCTGGAGCTGCGCGGGGCCGCGGCAGCTGCTGCCCCGCCACCCCCCGTGGAGGAGGAGTGCCCCGAGGACCTCCCGGAGAAGTTTGATGGCAACCCGGACATGTTGGCGCCCTTCATATCCCAGTGCCAGATCTTCATGGAAAAGAGCACCCGCGATTTCTCCGTGGACCGTGTGCGTGTCTGCTTCGTCACCAGCATGATGACGGGCCGTGCGGCGCGGTGGGCCTCAGCCAAGCTGGAACGTTCACACTACCTGATGCACAACTACCCCGCCTTCATGATGGAGATGAAGCACGTCTTCGAAGACCCCCAGCGCCGGGAGGCCGCCAAGCGCAAGATCCGCCGTCTGCGCCAAGGCATGGGCTCGGTGGTCGACTACTCCAACGCCTTCCAGATGATCGCCCAGGACCTGGACTGGAACGAGCCCGCGCTCATCGACCAGTACCACGAGGGCCTGAGCGACCACATCCAGGAGGAGCTGTCCCACCTGGAGGTGGCCAAGTCCCTGTCAGCGCTCATCAGCCAGTGCATCCAAATCGAGAGACGGCTGGCCCGGGCGGCTGCGGCGCGCAAGCCCCGCTCCCCGCCGCGTGCGCTTGTGCTTCCCAACGTGTCAGGCAACCACCAGGTGGACCCCACCGAGCCCGTGGGGGGCGCCCGCATGCGCCTCACCCAAGAAGAGAAGGAGCGCCGCAGGAAGCTGAACCTATGCCTCTACTGCGGCACCGGTGGCCACTACGCCGACAACTGTCCTGCCAAGGCCTCCAAGTCCTCGCCGGCGGGAAACTCCCCGGCCCCGCTGTAGAGGGACCTTCAGCGACCGGGCCAGAAATAATAAGGTCCCCACAAGATGATGCCTCATCTCCACACCTGCAAGTGATGCTCCAGATCCATCTTCCGGGCAGACACACCCTGTTTGTTCGAGCCATGATCGATTCTGGTGCTTCCGGGAACTTCATCGACCACGAATACGTCACCCAAAATGGAATCCCACTGAGAATCAAGGACTGGCCAATCCTCGTGGAAGCGATCGACGGGCGCCCCATCGCGTCCGGCCCGGTCGTCTACGAAACTCACGACCTGATTGTAGACATGGGAGACCACCGAGAGGTGTTGTCCTTCGACGTGACTCAGTCTCCTTTCTTCCCGGTGGTCCTGGGCGTACGCTGGCTGAGCACACATGACCCCAACATCACCTGGAGTACCCGCTCCATCGTCTTCGACTCCGACTACTGCCGCTACCACTGCCGCCTGTACACGCACCTGCCGACTGCGCCACAGCCGCACCTCTACTACCCGGTGGACGGCTACCGCGTGTACCACCCGGTGCGCTACTACTATGTGCAGAATGTCTACACCCCAGTCGACGAGCATGTCTACCCAGACCACCGGCTGGTGGACCCCGGCATAGAGATGATCCCAGGAGCGCACAGCATCCCCAGCGGGCACGTGTATTCCCTGTCGGAACATGAGATGGCGGCGCTGCGAAACTTCGTGGCCAGGAACGTGAAGGACGGGCTCATCACCCCCACCATCGCCCCGAACGGGGCCCAGGTCCTGCAGGTCAAGAGGGGCTGGAAGCTGCAGGTGTCCTACGACTGCCGCACTCCGAACAACTTCACCATCCAGAACCAGTATCCTCGTCTGTCCCTCCCCAACCTGGAAGACCAAGCCCATCTGGCCACCTACACCGAGTGTGTACATCATGTGCACTGCTGCCATTCTTGCCATTCATGCCATTTTTATCATTTGTGCCAAAGGTGCCATTCGTACCATGCCTACCCTTCGTACCCAGCCTACCCTGTGGGCTACGCCTGGTACCCAGTGGGCCGAGACATACAAGGAAGAGCGCTCTACATCCCTGTCATGATCACCTGGAACCCGCACTGGTACCGCCAGCCCCCCGTGCCGCAGTACCCCCCGCCGCAGCCGCCGCCGCCGCCGCCGCCGCCCCCGCCGCCGCCGTCGTCCTACAGCTCCCTGTGAGCCCGCTCGAGGCCGCGGGACCCCCGCCCTCCGGGCCTCCTCCTGTCCAGCTTCCCCGTCAGTGACTGTGTGCTGAAGGCGGCCGCCGGTGCCGCAGGTCAGGCATCGGCCAGCGCCTGCCCGCTGCGCTCTGCCCCGACTGCCATCTCGCGGGAGTCCACCTTCCAGCCTCCGTCACCACCCGGATTTCTAGCTGCCAAATTCTGAACCCAGAAGCTGACCCCACACAGGAAATGCTGATTTCTCCGAGGAGGGGGAGCGGAGGAGGAGGACAGGACTTCTCGCAGTTTCGGTCCTCTGAGTTACACCCCTGGAGGACCCGCGCCTTATGAAGGAAGCCGCATTTACTGGTGCAGTGGGCAGAGGCTTCCGTGATGCTAGTGCTGCACCTTCAGAAACTTCACCTTCTTCGAGCTCCACGTTCATGGTTCCGTTAATTCTCAAGGAGCAGCAACTCGACCGGTTCTCCCAGGAGCGGGCAAAACCCCTGCAACAGGAAACACCTCAGGCCTGGAAAGGAAGTGCTCTATCAGAGACTCTGGCGCGTTAAGAGTGTGCCTTCACACCCTGGTGCAAATCACACGTACCCAAGAACTCTGGCTCGACACAGCATCGACACAGCATCGTACCATCACCACGCCAGGAACAGCTTCCACCAAGCGTTCCGTGTCTGTGACGTGTCATGACCACCTCTCAATGACGCGCGTGGGCCGAAGAACAGCGAGTGGATAGGACTCCTAAACCCTGTACCCAACTCTTAAGAGACTCAGAGTTCCTTGTTTCCAACTTTTAGTGGTCTTTCAGAGGGAGTTTTCACGAGTGTTGGTGACGGGTTGCAACAGCAGCAGCTTACAGTTTTGGAAACATCTATCTGTGTGTGTGCCTCCATACGCATCTGGGCATTCCATCCTCAGTTCCCTCATTGGACTGTACCATTTTAGGATGCTGAGAGAGGGGCAATGATTTTGCACTCAGACCCACACTCCTGTACAAGGGAGGGATGGATGTCTTTGAGGAAGAGAAATTGTCTTGAGGATACTGACCTTCCTGGTGAGCTTTTTCATTCAACAGGGTGACCTGATGTAACCACTTTGAAAGGATCCCTCCAGGTGATGGAGCCAACATGAAGCTCTCAAAAATTGGGTGAAAGGCCTCACACACAGCTGTTGCCAATCCAGTGACCCCTCTGGTGTCAGCTGGACGCTCTGTGCTAACCTGGGACTGCCTGACTTCTTTAGCCTGGTCCCTTGCTATTACCTTGAAGTGTTTGTCTAACCTCTTTGTGTTTGATTCTTTACTACTGCCATTAACCCTGATGCAGGATTTGTGTCATCTTCCTGCTTGGTTGCTGAGACTTCCTTTTGCTGCCTGGCAAAAGAAGAGGCCGGCTTCAAGGAGCGTGTGTTTGAACACACAGGCCTCCCATTGCCAACAAGCAGTTTGAGCAGTAGAAATAGTATCGCTTACCTTTAAATTGCTGCCATGAAGAGGAGTCTGATGGTGAAGTTTACTTTTTCATCAACATCCTTCACATGTTTATTGCCCCCCTTTCCTCCTGCATGTTTAAATACTTTGAGCTGTAGTAGTGTACCCTCAGCAGTGTTTTCAAGTGGTGACTGTGCTTTCGGAAATTTCCATTGAATTACAAAGGACTAATTCTTATTGAGAAATTAAGTAAAAAGGACGGTGTAGCTTTGCATAAAGTGTTAATTTACTGTGAATTTCTTACAACACTGTGAATGTGTGGCTCCTCAAAACTGAAGTATTTGTACAATTGTTTAATCTTTTAATATTAAGTATTTCAATGTATCAATTGACCTTTAAAAATCACAGAAAAAGGACCTACAAGTTCAGTGAGGAAGCCTAATTGGCTACTTGTTTAATCTAAAACCAGTTTCCCTTTTTTCTTCAATGGAATTAGAAAGCTTGTCCCTCATGTGTTTAGAGTTACCTTTAAAATGGTGCATTTGTGCTTCTGGACTATTTTGAAGCATTACTTCAGTTTACCTCAAATCAGTCCATCCTCCATACATTTGAACTCAACACTGTTCAGTGTCAGACTTAACAGTTGTTGATTGACTTCAAGCTGCAGAGTGCCCAGACACCGGCCTTTGCCTGCAGCACCCAGCCCCAGCCCTGGCATGTGCACACAGACATTTGCCATCACTACAAGCAGAAACCTGGAAAAGTTGGCCAACGACAACAACCGTCAGGGAGAGCATGCTGGTATGGGTTAACTGCCCCCAGACAGTCCCTGGCACATGTTTGGCTATTTACTGAAGCTTGTGATGGACTTTCTGGCAGTGTGTACAATGCTTTATTGCTGTGATCTATAAGTATTAGAAATTAAAGATAAGTAATCTTAGATTTATTGTTCTATGATATTGACATTTTGACTAAGTTTCCTTTCAGTCAATTCACTTATTTTGTTGCTATTGATCAAATTAATATTAATTGGATCCTTTAAATTTTTGGGGCATTTTCCAACAAAGATGCCTTTTTTCATAAGAAAGGAGAAAAGCAAAGGATAAATAAAGAAGTTAGAAAGGGAGCAAAATAAAATATGAAGGCAATGTACAAATCAAAACATCAGAGTTATTAAGTAAACCAGTGATCAAGTCTTTGGAAAACAAAACTGAAATTAGTTGACTTTTGGCTAACGTGTACATTGATCATTAATTAAATCAAGGTGAAAGAAGAACTCAGTGCTCCCATTGTTAAGCAAGCCTAGAGAGAACTAACTAGCTTAGGTCATCATGCTAGGATATTGAAACAGGAAGTTTACATACATTCATGAAGGGTCAATTTAGTTTGAGTAATGAGGTATTTGTCTTAGGTTGATTAAATCATGTGAGGTACTACAGCAAAGTTACAGATGCACAAAATAAGAGGGGTACATCTATATGGTGCAGTCTGGCATTTTGTTGAAGTTTGCAGGTACCTCTTGGACTCCTGAATTGATCTGGTTGTCATCGCCACAGACGTCCAACATCGGATACAGTTCCAAGACTGGCAACAGAGGACCTCCTGCTACAGAGTGAAGCAGTAATGAAGGACCACCTGCAGAAAGAAGGCGCCCAGCAGGAACCAAGGAGAACACCTACCTGATTGAAAGTTCTTTGTTGTTTCAGATTGTAGAATGCTTTTGAATTGGTCTGTGGAAAACTGCATTGTTTTTATTTCTTTATGTAATCGCTTTAAGTAGTAGGGGGATATATAATCATAATTATGTTACGGTGGGAGGGATTTGATCTTAGGTGGGTGGGTTTACTTAGAAAGTTAGGATTTTAGGATTATGTCATGTATTAGATATCTCAATCAGTAGACATGTGTACTTGCAACCTTTTACCCTTTCTGTCCTTAAAGATTTCCAATAAATTTGGAGGAAACTACAGGGCGATCAACCTATGTAAAGTGAATTGGACGTGGATAAAACCCTAATGAAAGTTCAATGGTGATTTGATTAATAATTCAATAGAGGCCCTAGGTGTTAAGCTCTAGGGATCACACAGTGAGACTTAGAGGATGTCCAAATACCCTTGAGAAATTGTTGCCAGAATGATAAGTGGATGGTCAAGATTCATGGAAATTACAGGAAAGTGATGAAAAAAGCCCTTGTTTTTACCCCTGTCAGTAGCCCTCCTCCTTATTAGCACCCCTTCCCCCTCCAATCCCACTTCCTTCAAACCATTGCTGTATTCTCTTTACTCTGTATTTCTATTTGCTAACATTGTATTGCTGCCATAATAAAAATTTCAATAAAGATTTAGTGGTTAAGTGCACACTGTGTCCTGATCATTTCAGCGTCCACCAGTAATTTGGGAGGGGACTGGCAGAATGGGGTGGGTGGGAGGATGGGAAAGGGGTGGGGAGGAAGAAAAGAGTTTATAAACAACACATCAGTCACACAACCCAGGATCAGTTGTGTGCCCAAGTACTGTAGCAGATCAACTAATTTATTTTAGATGCAAAACATTAACATCTAAAATAAAGCCACCAACTAATGGTAACTCCAGTGATATAAAAACACTTTGTTTTTAATATCATTTTCAGTTGGAATACTTGACATTAATTGATGGAGGATCGAGTGGGGGACATTAGGGAATAAGAAGAGGGGGTGGGGTAGAAGAGCAGTAGGGGAGAGGGATGGGAATGAGGGTGAGAAGGGTGGGGGTGATTGGTTGGGGTGGAAGTGGTAATACAAGGAACACATCAGTCACACAACCTTGGATCAATTATATACCCAGAGCACACCAGGAAATCAACTAATTCATCTCAGCTGGAAAGCATTAGCTTGTAAAATGAAGCTACCAACTAATGGCAGCTCCAGTGACACACTAAAACATGCTTCATTTTTAATATTGCTGTCACTTGGAATACCTGACATTAACTGATAGGGAGAGTGGGACAGTGCAGTGGGGTTTGGGGATGGGGTAGGTGGGGCAATGGGGGAGGTTAGTGGGAAGGGAAAGAGGGTGGGAAGGTGGGAGTAGCAGAATGGGTTGGGGGTGACACATCAGTCACACAACCCAGATCAATTTTGTACCCATATACTCCAGCAAATCAACTAATTCATTTCACCTGCAAAACACTAATATATAAAGCACAGCCACCAATTAGTAGAGACTGGTGATGTCATGGTAGAAACTTTATATTGTGGAGATGGTGGGACCATGGGAAGGGTGGAGAGATGGGAGTGAGGGTGGGAATGGTGATTGGAAGTGATGATACACAGAACACATCAATCACACAACCCAGATCAATTGTCTACCCTAATTCTCCAGCAAATAACCTAGTTTACTTTAGCAGTAAAACACTAATATAAAATACAACCACAAAATAGTAAAAATGAGTGACATCATGTAAGGAACTCCATAATAGTTTCATTTGTAATCCTTCATATTTATTAACAGTATAGAGGGTGGGTCAGTGGGGGCATTTTATAGGGATGGGATGAGAAAACGGGAAGGGTGGGGCAGTAGGGGCATGGGAAGAGCAAAAATAGGGAGTGGGGTTGAGTTTGGGAAGGGGGATGGTGATACAAGGAATACATCAATCATACCACCCAGGATCAACTGTAAACCTGGAATACTCCAGCAAATTAATTAACTAATTTATTAAGTAGCAGAACATATAAAGTCAACCTGGTGGCATAATGTTAAAACTTTTTAATAGCAATTTTATTTGGAATAATTGAGATTTATTAATAGGAGTAGGGAGGATACGACACTGGGGACAGTGGGGAGGGTGGTGATGGGGGATGGGAAGAGACAGTGGTATAGTGAGGAGTGAGGGAGAAGGAAGGGGACAATGGAGACGGGGAGCAGGGAGACATGGGGGAAGAGCTAATTGGGAGGGTGGGAATAGGAGTCAGTTTGGAAAGGGGTGGTGGTATAAGGAACATTTCAATCACACAGTCCAGAATATGCCAACAAACTGTTTATTCCACTGCAAAACATTAATATCTAAAATAAAGCCACCAACTAATGGAGACCCTAGTGACAAAATATAAACAACTTCATGTTTAGTATCAGCTTCTCTTGAAATACTTGAGATTAATTAGTAGGAGTAAAGACTGTGGGGAGTGAGGGGAGTGGGAGGTCATGGGGGAATGGGAAGAGAGGGTGGGGCTATGGGGAGACTGGAGAGGTGGGAATAAGGATGGGAAGTTTGGGAGTGGCGGTGACTTTTGCTTGGGGCTGTTGATAGAATACAACCCAGATCAATTATGTATCTGAATACTCTAGCAAATCAACTGATTTATCTCAGCTGCAAAACATTAGCATATAAAATAAAGCCACCAACCAATAGTAACTCCAGTGACACAATAAGACACACTTCATTTTTAATATCAATTTTGCTTTAAGTTACTGATATTTATTAATTGGTAGGGAGGTTGGAAGAGTGGACAGAAGAAGAGGGGTGAGGGAGGCAGGGTAGTGAGGAAGGTGAGGGGACAGGAAGAGAACAGGCAAGGGGAAGAGTGACTCTGAGTTTGGGATGGGGTAGAGATTCAAAGAACACATTCATCACACTGTCCAGGATCCATCGTGTGCCCAGAATATGCGAGGAAACCAACTACTTTATGCAAGTTGCAAAACACTGAAATAAAGCCACTTATTAATAGAGACGAGGGACATAAGAAACTTTAACTTTCGTATCAGTTTCACTTGTAATCCTTGAGATTTAATAATAAGGGTAGAGAGGGTAAGATTGTGGTGGGGGAGGAGGAGGGGAATACAGTAGGTGGGGGTGAGTTTGGATTGAGGGTGGTATAAAGAATGCATCAATCACACAACCCAGAACCAATTGAACACTTAGAATTCTCTGGCAGATCAACTCATTTATTTCAGCAGTGAAATATTAATATGTAAATGAAGTCATCAATTAATAGTGATTCCAGTGACAAAAATAGCAAATTTCATTTTTAGTATCAATTTTCTTTGGAATACTTAGAATTTATTTACAATGAAATGGGGGAAGATGAGAAGATAGGAAGAGAGGAAAGGCAGGGTGGGGCAGTGGGGAGGGTAGAGGGATTTTCAGAGGGTGGGCAAAGTGGAATGGGCTGAGTTTGCAATGGGGCTGGTATAAGAAGTGCATCAATCATATAACCCAGGACCAGTTGTATACTCAGAACTCTCCAGGAAGTCAACAGTTCCAGCTACAAAAATTAACATGAAATAAAGCCACCGTTTGATAGAGACTAGAGACATAATGTGCTTCATTTTTCTTACTAATTTTACTTGGAACCTTTGACATTTCTTATTAGGAGTAGGATGGTCAGATGGTGTGGCCAATAGGAAGGAGGAGGGTAAGGTATACAAAAGGCATTGCAGATGGTATGAGATGGGAATGAAGGTGGGAAAGGCATGAGTAGGGGTGAGTTTGGGTAGGGGATGGTGGTATAAAGAACACACTGCTTGAGATCAATTATATACTCTTAATACTCCAGAAAATAAACTTATTCCAGCCACAAAATATTAACATAAAAACCACCAATTAATAGAAATATAATGTTGTAATGTCAATTTTACTGGAAATACTTGAGCTTTGCTAATAGAAGACTATAAAACATTAGCAAGGACTTAAAGGAAGACATGTGAAGTAGAGTGCAGATATGTAACATTAACATAGATTTATTTTTTATGCCAGTTAACACTAAAATAATATCAGGGTGGCAGTGAAGTTCATCTAAAGAAAAAGTGGCAACAAGGGTCCATGAGGAACTCATCCAATTAGATTTTGAAGGTTAGTGACATTCATCAGAATTATAAAGTAAAAGGTTGTGTGTGAAAAAATCCCAAAGTGTGTCAGCCTCCAAGAGTTTCTGGGTCTGTGGTAGTCATATATAACAGTGGTACACTGGGAAGATGGTGACTGCAAGCAAAGATCTGGAGCTGATGGTGGAAACACAAAACTGAAAGCTGTTTCCTCTCTGGAACAGACTGTTCATCCAGCCCTTAGTTTACAGACTACCATCGTGCGCACAGTTGTGGGTAGAGTTGAAGAATTTAGGAATGGGGGCCCCTGGCCAAGAACCACTGAGCTATAAAGGCCTGCCAGGAGTTTACATATAATTTAAACAATATGGTATAGAAATGACTAGCCAGATCACTTGGAAAGAGAAGTACAATTTCCTATTCATCCCTGCTTTGTTCTACCTTCACTTCTGGCCCCGACTTCTCACGGTTTGGTCCAGAATATTAAACTTATTTTATGCAGCAGTGGCAAAAGGTATGATGATAGCAAGTGACATAAAGAATCCCTTTTGTCCAGTGTCCTAGATGCTGGTAATTAAAACACTTGTTTAAAATGAGAACCACATCGTGTTAACTTAAAACAGCTTTAAAAATATTTTATTTGGAATTCAGAATTACAGCGAGAGAGAGAGAGAGAGAGAGAGAGAGATTTTCCATCCATTGGTTCACTCCCCAAAGGGCCACAATATCCAGGGATGAGCCAGGCCAGCCAGGAGCTTGATTTGGGTTTCCCATGTGGGTGCAGGGACAAGCGTTTGGACCATCTTTCATTACTTTCCCAGGTGCATTAGCAGGGAGCTGGATCAGAAGTGGAGCAGTGGGGGTTCAAAATTGGCACCCATATCAGATGCTAGCATAGCAAGCGGCAGCTTACTGCACTACAGCACCAGCCATGATAAACAGCTTTTAAAAACATATAAAAGCAATTGAATACCTTTTCGAGCTGAATCACTTTTGATCTATACCTTAAAAATACACAGTGGGGTGGGCATTGTGGTGCAGCATGTTAAGCTGCTGCTTGGGATGCTTGTATCTCATAATGTGCCTGGTATCAAGTGCCTCCTTCACTTCTGATTCAGCTTCCTGCTAATGTACCTGGAAGCCAGCAAATGATGGATCAAGAACTTGGGTCCTTGGGGCCGGCGCCGTGGTAGAGTAGGTCAATCCTCCACCTGCGGCGCCAGCATCCCATATGGGCACTGGTTCTAGTCCCGGCTGCTCCTCTTCCAATCCAGCTCTCTGCTGTGGCCTGAGAAAGTAGTAGAAGATGGCCCAAGTGCTTGGGCCCCTGCACCCATGTGGGAGACTGGGAAGAAGCTCCTGGCTTCGGATCAGCATAGCTCTGGCCATTGCGGCCATTTGGGGAGTGAACCAATGGAAGGAAGACTTCTATCACTGTCTGTAACTCTACCTCTTAAATAAATAAAATGAATCTTAAAAACAAACAAAAAACAAAGAACTTGGGTCCTTGTCATCACTTGGGAGACTGGGATTGAGTTCCTAATTCCTGATTTCAGCCT